GTGGGGAGTGGTTGGATGGGGCGTGGGAGTCCCTTGTGTCTGTCTGGGTGTGGGGGTGTGGATAAGGGTTGGGGCAGTCAGGGGACACATAGGGGGTAGAGTCCTAGGGGGCCAGTTAGGATGGGGGGAGGGTCTCAGGAGGGGGCAGTCAGGGGACAAGGAGTGGGGGGAGAGGGTTGGGGGTTCTGAGGGGAGTGGGAAGTGGGAGGAAGTGGAAGGGGCAGGGCTAGGGCAGGATGGGGCGGGGCTAGGGCGGGGCTCCTCCCATCCTCTTTTTTGATTGTTGAAATATGGTAACCCTAAAGTTGGAGGACTCCTGTCAGATCTCCCCAATGACTCCTAAAGGTAGATGTCTTGATGTCAGCTCACAATAGTGGTGGAGGCCAGGGGCTAACACCAATAGAGTGTGTATATTAGGCCAGCTACCTGCTTCTGACAGCTAGACCATTTCAAGAAGCAACTCACCATCAAATCTTCCCTCTCCAGTAGTGGCACTTCAGCAGGGAGGCAACTCACTGGGATAGTGCTGGTTTCTATAGCCCTAGGATAGTCTGGAGTTGCCATAAAGAATTACCACAGCAACTCCTCAGGATGCTAGAACGAGGCAGTTGGCTGGCCTTCAACTTTGGAACTACCCTCCCCCTCATGCCCCCCACATCCATTTTGGCTGTACTAGCCCAAATCATTTAACTTTCAGGGGCACATAGCCAAGCAAATCTATTTACCCAGGCTTGTGGCTGATGTGGTATTGTTTGGGTCTGTTTTCATTGACTGGTTGGCTGGTTTCTGGTTTGGGATGAAGAGCTGCTGGTTTTGTTTTATTTTCTTTATGCAATTGTATTTTTAATTCAAAGCGTAAGCACCTAAAGCCTGGGACAGGCATTCTTCTTTTTTAAAATACAAATTAAAATAAAAAATGGTATGTGTTTTGCTCCACTCCACACCACGCGGGGAAGAGGGCATTTGGCCTATTGATTAATTGTTGTAGTCTCCAAGATCTATTAAATTTTGGAGAGTTAAGATTGTGCAGGGCCCTGCCTGAGTGCGCAAGGGAGGAGGTTTAGGGGACAGGACACAAGAAGGCTTCACCTTGAACGACTTTGTAGGGGCCAGGCATAAACCTTGCCATTGCATTGCCTGAGATCAAGTTCCTGGGATTTCTAGCTTCACTGGAATCCCCAAAGCTTGCAAGGGCATAGTTCTATTCTTCTTCCACATTGCTCTAGCACAGCAAAGCGAGACTGCTACTGGAAAGAAAAGCACCCATTGCAACTTTTCAAAGCAGGGGCATGCATAGGAATAAAAATTTGGCTGCTTTTGGAGGGGCATTTTCTGTGCCCTCTGCGGCTAGAGGAGCTCGCTCTCCCCCCACTCCCACAGCTGGAAGAGCTGGCTCTTCCCCACCCCCACCTCCACAGCTAGAGGAGCTCACTCTCTCTGGGCAGCAGGAGGAGCTGGGTCTCCCTGCTGCAAACCCCTGGCCTGTGGAGCAGGCTCTCCTTCCCTCCTCCCCCCCGCCCCCGTAGCCGGTGGATCTCACTCTCCCCTAGCAGCCGGAGGACTTGGATCTCTCCCCACAGTCCCAGGGCCAAAGCAGTTGTCATCTCCCGCCCCAGCCCGGGGCCAGACGAGTTCTGTGCCCCCCTAACCCCTGCTTGATCCCCCCTTGCACACGCCCCTGAAGCACTGTGCCTGCCTCATGTACAATGAATGAAATCTTGGCCTCCTGGAAATCAATGGGAATTTTGCCATTGACTTCAACAGAACCAGGATTTCACCCAATATTTCTGAGACAGTGCATCTCCACACTTCTCCCTACCACTAACACTGATTTAGAGCCACAATATAGCCCTTAGAGTTTAAGATTAAGATTGCATCTATTGTTTACCTGTTTTTCATTGTGTTTGTTTCTCTTCTATATTAGTTCAACTTGTTAATGTTTATTAACTCGGTAAAAGTAAATTTATTTTATGTTTACGACTGTTGCTTGCAACTAAGGCTGTGTCTACACAAAAAAGGGTTTGCTGGAATAACTATACCACCAAACTCTCTTAGCAGAAATGAAGTTTATACAGACAGAGTTTTTTAAAAGTATAAAAGATCCTCGAGCAACAGAAGCTCTACTGGCAAAAGGACTTTTTTGCCAGTATAATTGCATCTACGCTAGAGTATTTGCCAGCCTACCTATATAGATTGGGGTGTGATTCTTTTTTTCATATGCATTACTATGCTTGTAGCTCATAGCTATGCTCTTAAAACTTTTAAGTATAGACCAGGCCTAAATATAGAAAAGTCATATTAAGTACTGGTTTAATTGAGACCGGGAAGGAATTTGAACTGTTACTTAAAATCCTGACCATTTTTGTTTGTTTGTTCACGCTTCTGTATTCAAATTATAACTTAAACAACAACACCGTAGGCCCTGTATAAAGTTGTGCAAATAACTGATTTTTCAGTTCACTGGCAGTTCTGAAAAAAAATCAGTTTGAGTCCACATGAATTTGTGAAATGTTTTGGTTGATCCGAATCTGCATTTTTTGGCAAAAAAAATGGTTTTGTTCAAAATTTTTTGCCCCACTGTGGCCCAACATAGCCCACACTTTGTGCTCACTGACTCCCATTGGTTTCAAAAGGAGCTCCACATACAAAATCACTTTATGTGCACACCAAGGTCCTAAATTAAAATGAACAGACAAAAAACATCTCTACAGAAATCCAGGAAGCTGACGTATTCTTGTAATCACACTGCTGTGGGCAGCCTGATAGGAAATAAGCCCTAAATTGAACATATTAAGACTATAATTCCATCAAGAAATTATTTTGACATCATAAATCAATAAGATCAAATGCTTCACTGGGTTAAATATCAGAAACCCGAGAGGAAACATTTAGAGGGTGTAGTCTTATTAAATATAATACAAATTTAAAATAAGTTATTCCTGCAGATCTTATCTCTTGTTTTCTTTTTTCCCCCACTTCTGTATTTCACCCCTCACCCAGAGAATCTTAATGGAGAGCTCAGCAATGTTAAGGGAGAATAACCTCTAAAATATAAGGAATGTGTGACAGTCAGATATACTCATCTGTTGAAACAAGAGCATCTGAGGTTACTGTTAAGGGTTTGCTTTATAATGCAAGTTTGAAGTTGGGATACATATTGCTTTTCAATAGGTGTTGGAGGTGGAAGTGAAAGCCGTAAGGAATGTTGGAGTGTTGGTGACAGTGTAGGAGGCAATGTGGGAGTGGCAAGGAACACAGGAGACTTTTCCCTTCATTTGTTATTTCCATGGTTGATGAAGTGTGTCCTTATTCAACCAAAACAAAGTTCTTGTGTGTTTATTTACACTACTGTACTTCCTGGAAGCCCAAGTCAAGAGCAGAGTGGGGAAGGGGGCCCTGTGCTACATGCTGTATAGACATAAAAGTAGACACAAACTCTGTCCGGAAGAGTTCATGACCTAATAATATCAATCTCTATAAAGTGCTTTGTGATCCTTGGATGAAAGGCATTATATAAGTGCTAAATATTTGCCATTAATAATAATCACAATACATGAAAATGGTTATAACCACAGTACTGGTGAGAACAGTACATTTTACTGGTGGTATTTGCTTATATATTGCCAATCCCAAGCCATCAAATGTCCTAAATTGTTTATTTGTTTGTTTGACTAGAATGTTATTTTTCTTTTCATTCTTGTTTCTGAATTTTAGGATACATTTATTTAATATTTACCTCTGCCACCATGAGGCAAGAGACTTGTTTTAAAAATAAATGGGAACTGACAGTCTCATATAATCACAGGACACCGGGGCTTGTGCTTTGAGAAAAACACCAAATATTTCAAGTGAGCAATAAAGAGCCGGCAACACTGTAACCTCACATTGCAAAATATTAGAATATGGATGGGCCCTAACCAACACCCTCCTACTTGCTCCCCCCGCCCCATATATGAGGGTCCAGAATCCAGCTTTGATTTGAAGAAGGTCATTAAAGCCGCAATGGGCCTATCCAAGCCCCCAGTTCCGAGCTCCTGCATTTTTTTCTGGGGAGAAGCGGATGGTTTAAAGCCTCCAACCCAGGGTGGCTGGCACAATTTTGATAGTGGAGGTGCTGATGAGGGAAACCATACATTTGGTGTTTATTATTACTACTTCAAGCCAGAGGGTGTGGCAGCGGCACCGCTACTTTCAGCCCCACTGCTCCAACCTTCTCTGAACTTTGCTACCTGCCCCCTACACTAGTCAGAATGGAGATCGATCCGGTGCCCCCAGCCTCGGCGCCAGTGTGTTACTGAAAGGGATAATTGCTGGGATTGCAAAGCACAGCAGAGCAGAGGGGAGAGCGACCGGCAAACGAAGGGTGCTGTGCCTGATACTACAGCTCTTCCAAGGCACCAGCCCCACCTAGACACCCACCCGCTGCAAGCCGGGGACGCCCAACCTAATCCATCGCACCCCAGCTCCTCCTCTGCTGCCGCCGCCTGCCAATAACTGCGGCAGCCCCCCCAACCGCTGCGCCTCGCTATAGGCCGGCTGGGGCTGCCAGTCTCGGGCCGCCCCCGCGGCGGGGGCGGGGGGGACCCGGCTACGGCGAAGCAGCGCGAGTTGGCCGGGGGCGCGGCTGCGGTTGCGCCATCTGTCAGGCGGGGGAGCGAGCCGGAGCCGGGCTCCGCCGCTGTCGCTCGGGAGGGGAGGACGCGGCGAGTCGGAGCGACGACCCTGCGCGCCCGTCTCCCTCCTTCCCCCGGCTGCAGCCCGCGCGCCGCTGCCTCGGCTCCCGGGGTCTTCGCTGCCAGGGCGCGGAGCCGCCGGAGCTCGCCCCGCTCCTTGCTGCGCCCGTGTGGTCCCTGGAAGAGCCGGCGTTGGCGGGCGGGGAGGAGTCACCTGGGGAGGGCCCCCCGCCGCGAGGGGGATGCTGTGAGCTTGGCTTCGCCGCGCCAGCCCCGCGCTGAGCTTCAGGTAAGGGAGCGAAGCCCCCGGGGCCCCGGCTACGGCCCGGGGAGGGGGATGCTGCGCCGCCGGCCGCTGCTGTGTTGTTTCCTTTGTGTGGGTGGCTTTCTCGGGAGAGGTCAGGGCAACGCTGCTGCAGGTGCCCTCCACCCCGAGCCCCCTGGCCTGGGCGTGCAGCTGGAGCCCCTGCCAAGGGGAGCGGTGCCAGGAGGGGAGGGGGAGAGGCTGCGGATGCAAAAGCCTTGCATCAGTTTTATGTATTTTTCCTTAAACGTTTGTTTTTGGCTCCTCCTCCAGTAGTAGTTTACCCCCCAAGAAAAACCGAAGCTTTATTGTTGGTGATCTTGCGGGTGCTGCGGGGTTGGCCCTGGGGGTGGATTGTTGTGACCCTGCTGATGGTGAGGATGATGGGCGAGGGTAAGCCAGTTCTGGCAGAATATAACAGGCTTGCTGGGGGGAGCCCGTGGTGCTGTGCGGCTTGATCAATTCACGTTTCTGTTTAATGTTTTGTGGATCTGAAGCGCTCTAGAGGAGCTAAATACTAACTATGATGTAATCATTTAATAATTAATGCTCATGTGTAGCTGGGCTCTGACCCATGCTGCCATTCTCTTGCTTTGGACCATTTGCATGTTTTTGGTTTTGTCCCATTGCTATCCCCACCCCCATTTTAACTCTTGAACTACAGGCTGAGGCTTTATTAGTTACTGAGCTAGAAAGTGAGGTAACTGAGATACATCACAGGGCTTTATTTGCTGCAATTTAGGGGAGAGAAAAAGGGGGCGGGGGGAATAACAAATAAAACTACCCTTTATCCCTCTTAGATTTTATAGGATTTGTGTGTGTGACAAAGGGCTCTTTCAGTGAAGAGAGGCACAAAATGCCCAAGGGTGGTAGGATTTGAAAGGAGGTTTGCTTCTTGTTTCTTTCTCTGTTCCCTGGGGCTTCTCTCTCCCCAGATGAGGCCGCTGATTTGATCTCAATTCCTTTCCAGCCACATTTAGATTAGTGAAAGATACCAAATGCCACACCACGGGTGCCAACATTTTGCTGCATCTGCAGAGCTACAGTATATATGTAGTCAAAGTTTCTTTAATTATGTGAAATCTGGTTTCTACTGCCTCAATAACTTGCCTTGCTGCTGTTCCATGTGGATTTCCTTAATTCTAAAATGAGAACATAATAGCCTGATCCATTCAGTAGTGACTGGGGAGGGAGAGAGAGATGGGGCTGATGCTTAAGGAGAAGAATATTGTCAAGTGCAAGGGAACACACTGCAGTTTTTCATCAGTCATTTTGATACATTCTGTTTCTTAGAATGATTAATAACAGAGCAGGTTTGTAAGGAACACAGAGTATTGAAAATGGTTTTAGAGACCTTGTCGCTTTCCTGCCTGTATGCAGCCTCCTTACCTCCCACATCCTTCCTCTAACCACCCAAACGGCTGTCATACTCACCAGTTTTCTAAATATCTTTTAACTGGTACTCCCTTGCCAATGCTCTGAACAATTGCAGGTGAAGATCTTTTGCTTATATGTTTGTAGAGGAAGTGGGTTTGTTAGGGTTTTGTCTAGTTCCCATAGATAAAGAACAGCAAATTAAAGGGACATGTTAACTTGAAATAAAGACCATTTCAATAATGAATTGAAAGTAGTTTCCAGCACTACACTCACATGCTGAGTTTTGTGGTTTTACAATCACATTTTCCAATTTTTTTTAAAATGGGTTTTCACTCATCTGCTGTGACAGACTCACACAGAGATAACTGTATATAAAGTTCTGTTAAATAAACAACGCAAACTAAGTGGGGAATATATAGGGAGGAAATGTCTTTTTAATATTTCAGTTATAACCTTTTTAGTTGTTTTTGTAACAATGGTGATTTTTTAAAAGTTAACCAAAAGTGGTTTTCTTGTTCCCCCCACCCTTGCCCACCAGTTGAAATCATCCAAGCCAGAAGTGCAGAAGATCTTGGAATAACAGAGAATTCACTCAAACCTTTAATGCTTAATGCATATTCTAAGAAAAAAGATTAGTTGAACCTAATGGATGTCAATTATGTATGATACTTACATCGGAATATTTTTTAAAACGTGTCTTGCCGAGATTCATCTTGGGGAAAAAAAAATCACTTTTAATATATTTTGTTACGTTTGTGACCAGTTTTTTTTCTCCATTAAAAGTAATGTGGCTTAATAGCTGCCTTTTCAGTTATTATGTGGGCTAAGCTTATTTCATTCCTGTTGTTCTGTAAACTCATGTGAGAAGCTCACTGGAATATTCAGATTGTTCTTGAGGGTTTTTTCTGTGAGCACCAATGCTAAAATTAAGCACTCATGCTAAAATATCTTTAAAAGTATCAATTTGTGAACTCATTTCAATACCATGTTTGTGCAATAGTAATGTTTTCCTTCATCGGGGTGTGTTTTGCGAGTTAATTAACTTTGACACTATTATACACCCTCAGCTCTGGACACACAACTGAAGTCATGCTATATTATCTTTTGATAAAGTGTGTAATGGCATAGGGATATTACTTAATTATAAACTTTAATATAACTTAACGGGAAATAGTTTTCAGATTGATTGAATACAGTCCTTATTAGGCAATAAAGGACACCTGCATATAGAGATGAAACAAAATACTAGGCAGAGCTGTCAGAGAAGATACTATGGGTACAATGGAAAACTACAAGTAAAGGTTATTTTTAACTTCTGTTAACACTGATATTAGATTTTTAAAAATCAAAACCAGTTAATATAAAAATTCAGAGTAAAATACAAAGAGTGTTGTAAAATCAGTTGTCTTAATATAGTTGTAATTGTTCAATAATTACATTGCATGAAGCATCTGAGTAACGTGGAGCATAGCATGAAAAGGACCTGTGGGGCCAGTGGCTCTATGGGCTTGATTAAAATGAACACAGGCATGATATGATTTGCACTGGATTTATGGTCTAATAAAAATTCAGTTAGACAAAGTTAAAACTACGTGGTCCCTCCATGGTGATTTAATGTTGTGTATACCTCACATGAGTGTTATATTTTCAGTTGCTAGAAGTTAGTTCTGCATGAAATATTATTACATGTTCAAAGCATTGTACGTGTCAGCTTATCACAGTTCTGCATTTAACACTGTGTACTCTTACTATGATCTTTCTTCAAGAGTAAGAGAACTAATAATGCCTCCCTTTCTGCCCCCCAAAAATTCACTGTAGTGATTGAGTCACTGCTACAAAAATAGGGCTTGACCCTGTCAACTCTTGCCTCAGTAGCCTCATTGAGATCTGGCAATTAAGGTCTAGTTCGGTGAATAAGGGTTTGCAGGATTTGGATCTATATGTTGCAAGTCAGCAATTTATTTAGTACATGATTTTTCAGAGATGCTGAGCACTTGCAATGCTAACTGAAGTCAGCAGGCTCTAAAAGTTCTCCGCACTTATGAAAAAGGCTGTTATTTTACTTTACATTTATAAGCAACTGTCCAAAAAAGCATCTATCTTAGACTGTATAGTCCAGATCTTCAGAGATCTGTAGGCTTGTAACTGCTGTTGATTTCAAGTAGAGTTAGGCATATCATATCCTCAAGAGGTATTTGACTTAGGTGCCATTGACACTGATCACATCAAATGGAAGACCAGATTCTTATACACTTGTGTATGTGCTTAATTTTACTCATGCTAGCAGTCTCATTAAAGTTAGTGGGAATACCTTATTTGTAAAGGTAATCGTGTCTCTTCAGGAGTGGGGCCATAAACACAAAACTAATAACTTTGATCATATACATCAGAAACTAAGTAGGCCTTGCAGCAAAGGAAAAGTACCCCATCTCCTATCTAGCACTGGCTGAAGGATGACAATTCATTTTGCAAAGGGTTTTGAAATTTAGCTTCATTTCGAATCAGAACAAAACCCTCAAAATTCTGCACAAAGGAAAATTGCTAAGGTTTTTTTTTGTTTCAGGGCAGTTGAGAGACCTTTTGTTTCAGCTTGCACTCTTTTTTTATTTTATAATGTATAATTTCAAATTTTTTGTTAAGTTTCGGGGGGGGGGGGGAAGTTTTATTCCAAAAATGCCGGAACAAGATGTTTTGATGTTGTCAGAACATTTTGATTTTTTTGTTCCGAAATGAAACTTCTGCAAAATTGAAACTAATCTTGTGACGAGTTTCAATTTAAATGGAATTCCACTTTCCATTGGAAAATGGGTCTGAAATTTTTCCAACCAGCTTTGCCCCCTGAATTCCATGCCTTAATCAACGTTCCTGCTGTATGTCCCCCACCCCCAAAAAATGCCCCATAAAAATGAGGCTCACAAAAATAACCTGTTTGGGCAACTTCAGAATAAGAGAGGAAGTGAGTTTCAGAACTGGGAGGCTAGGAACCTATATCACTCGATATTGATGGAACTCTAACTTAAACACCGTGGAAGCCTAGCACGGGGAGTGAGACTACTAAAGGACTAGCACAGAGTTGGACCCAAGATCTTTATTTAGCGTAAAAAAATTTTTAAACTGAGAGGATGACATTAACTCCAGCAAAGCCTTATATCTAAAAACATTCTTCTGCTACACAAATAACTTTATAGAGTTTTTGTGGGTAAGCAAATGAATTACACAAAAATATCTTTAATCAAAGAGCAGCTCCAAGGATTGTAAATACAATGCTTTATGCTGAGACCCAAGGCAATAAAATAAACTATGTATTGCAGTTGTGAGGGCTGGAGGCAAGCAAATAGAAGGGAGGATGAAAAATCCCTCAAAGTAGCAGAAAGGGAGGAGAAGAGCCAACATAATGTGCTCCCTCTTCTCTTGAGCCCACATAAATCCATGTCCATTCCATGCTGTAGGCATGCAGTAGTTGTAAGGAGCTGGAAAAAGTGGGGTTAGGAAGTTGCTCCTCTGTGGCATGCTTATCTCTGAAACAGGTGGATGTCCAGTGAGCTGTGTTGCCAGGGGAGAGTGCTTCACATCATCTAATTGCAGTTTGCACTTTCCAACGCTATCCT